ACTGCGCTAATTCCCGACGCTCGACGCGTCGCAAACGACGCAACGACGGCGACCGTCGAAACTCCCCCTGCGATCTTCACCCTCCCTATAATTCGAGAACGTTTATAGGAGGACGGGGGAGATGGCGAAGGAGGAGGAGGAGGAGGAGGAGGAGGAGGCGGCTCTTACCCTCTTGCCTTCTTGCGCTAGCCATTTCCTAGAAACTCGTCCTCTTTCTCTCGTCCACCGCCAACCCTCCGTTCCCTCCGCAGGCTTGCCCTCTCGCCGTCGCGCCACCGTCGCGCACATCCGACTCTCTCCCGCGATCTCCATTCGTGCCTCATAATTAAAGTCTGGAGACACCGAGTATTTTCTATTAACATTCCTGGCTAACCCAGCGTGTTCAAAATGACCGCAGCTATTGCGGAATGTTGCGCAGCCGACCGGCCGCGTCCTGGATGCACTTGTGCGCAGCTGGAATGCGGCCGCTTTTACCGCCATCCCGGATTGTGTGTGTATGTGCGCGCGCACGTGTGTGTGTGTGTGTGTTGCGGCGTTTCGTCCGGACCTACCCGTGCGGTGAAATTTGTCGTTTCGCTTCATATTTAATATTCGTACACGAGCCGTCAGCCGCGCGCAGTCAGGGTGTATACGCGGAACCTTCGGAGAACACGGCGCGCTTTTCCGCAAAGTGGAGGGAAGGCCGAGAGAGAGAGAGAGAGAGAGAGAAAGGAGCTCTATTTTTAACTATATATTCGGCAGAAATAACAATCTCTCATGGACTTTACATGTTCGAGGTATGTAAGCTCGCCGGCAGAGGATCAACGGTAACTTTCCGCGGCGCGCGCGCGCGCCGGCAGATCTGCCGCTCCGCGAGCGATTATTATTATTGATTTTTCCGGGAAGCCGCGCTTCTGCGCGAAACGAGAGGCTCTTGGTTAGCCTCGATCTCGCGACCGATTGTTTTTCTTCGGCCGCTGAAAAACTATTTTCGCGGGCGGGCGGCTGCTTCGGCGAGCGAATTGCAACATGCGCCTGGCTCTCAGTGTAAACAAGCGCGATTGTTTAAAGGCTTCTCGGGAGGAGCACTCTCATCCTCCGTGTTCCGTAAACACCGGCCTCTAATAAATCGCGCGGTTTTATCCGCGCCTAACGACGCCTGGATGTATTTCCGTCAACTCCACGTGGGCGACCGCGCTCGGGCCGAAATAGTTCGATGTAATTCGAAATATTGCTCGAGCAACTCCGAGCGACAGCTCGTTCCCGAACCCTCGTGGCCGCCACGGCGCTTATAATCTTGTCAATTGTAATAATGATAATTAACCCTTTGCTGCATAGGTGGTCCTCCCAGAGTGCCACCTATCATCCAAGCTTGTTTTTCCAATAACCTAAATTTTTCACTTACTTCTTTAGTATATTTGGTATTGTCGGACTACTAAAATGTTCTCCCAAGTGATGCATCAACTTTTAGAGTCATTTCAAATAAATAATTTGTTATTAATAAGCATATACTGCACAAAACTGTCGCTTTTAGAGAATAAATTCGTTTACATGAAATTTTAAGTAATAACGTATATACTTTGAAGTCGAACCTTGCCGTGTATATCCGTCATAGCTCTGATATTTCGAATTTTTCATAACGAATTTGTAATTAGCAATCTCCAAAATTCTTAAATAATAAATTTCAAGCGAATTCGGCTACTTTTGAAAATGTTGGATCCGCCATTTGGAATTTCGTATTTTTCACACCGGATTTGTATTCAGCGGCCGTAAAAATCCCCGAGTAACAAGTTTCACAAAATTATATTCGTTAGAGAAAAATGTGCAACAAAGGATTAAGCGACGCGCGAATAGAAACTTATTGCTGTCCGAGCGGGGTCACAACAAAGTCTCTGATTGTAGAATGAGTGAACCTCTAATAATTGTAATAAGACATCTTGATATTCGTCGGACGCGAATGAGAGGATTGGACGGATCCATGACGGAAAGTAGTGGTTCGCGATAGTTCAACATTGAAATGATATGTACATTTTGAAATGTTAACTTTCTGTCAATATGCGACTCAATTGAACGCTGCATCTCCAAGTGCCCAATTATATGGACACTCAAATCTTTGAAGATTATCCTCTTCCGTCGCCCTTTCCATCCGTCGCCTTTTGAGAGGCTACTCTGCTTGAGGCTATCCTGCGAAATGATTTAACCCTTTAAGAGTGCTGAGTCCTCGAGATCCGAAGCGATCGCTAAGGACGGAGTATTCGGAGGGCCGCCGTAAGTCAACCGCTGTAAGTGGTAACTTCTCGGAGAATCGGAAAACGATAGGCCGGGACAAATGAAATATTATTTTCATCTCCGCAGATCGACAGGCGTAAGAAATTTGGCAGCAACTTCGCCAGTCGATTTGTGACGGTTGCATCCCTCATGAGCGATTCGTACGGCGCTCATATTGATCGCGCGGATGGACGACGAGATGGGGAGAGAGAGGAGAGAGCGAGAGAGAGAGAGAGAGAGAGAGAGAGAGAGAGAGAAAGGTACGAAAACAAGGATCATCAAAATTTCCTCAGATCAATGTGGCGCATGGAATATAAAGTAAGATCGGAGTGTAAACTTCTGTTGCAAATCTGTTGCAAAAAATTGACATCATCGCGCGACACAAATTTAATGATCCCTTCGATGCCCTCGACACATCCGCTCGTCGCGGATGTGTCGAGAAACAAATTGAAGCGGAAGAAAGCGGAAAGCTTTCGTCACCAATTCCGTCATCCCTCAACGTGATGATAATCATGGAAGTTTATCTGCGACTACGATGCGTCTCCACAGTCCACGCTGATAACAGTCGTCGGACGCGTACACGCACGCGTCCATATCCTCCCTTCCTCCAATCCCCTGCCCTGGAAAGGTTAACGAACCTCAGAATTGTCAGTGCTCCTCGAGTCTCGCAGGCGCTCTGCAAGGCATTTTCAGCAGATATCCGCGCGGGATCGTCCTCGCGGCAGGAACGCGAACGCGTCGGCGGAGCGCGCGAGAGATCTAAAGTCGCAATCGCAGAAAATTCGCGCGAGCCTCGCTCGCGCATAATTTATATTGCGCGTCTCCGCCGCGTTAATATATATCCCCGGATATACATCGCGACACGCGCGCATGCGCGCGCGCGCATTGTCGCTTGTTTCGTCGCAACGAGTTAGATTACTGCTGGTGAACTTCGCAACTTAATTCTCTTTCGCATCGCAGCTACGAATATCAGTCCACCACGATTGCTCGCGAGCTTTACGCGCTTTACTCGCGAAATCTCAACTCGACTCGCGGCTCGGCTCGGCTCGGCTCGGCTCGGCTCGGCAAGCAAAACTTCGCGCTAAACTCTCGTATTACCTTTGTCGTTCGCTTTCTCGCATCCTTGTCCTCTCCTTCTCTTCTCCCCCGCCCCTCTCTCTCTCTCTCTCTCTCTCTCTCTCTCTCTCTCTCTCTCTCTCTCTCTCTATTCTTCACTCGCCTTCTCCGTCGCTCTCCGCACGCGCGCGTTTATACTAGACGGAGGCACACTGACTGCACTAAAACGTCGGAAAATTCGTTATCAATTTCTGCTTATCGGGATGTACCGTCGCTTCCCGAATAAGGACTCATTCATCCGCTCGGACGAGCTCTGAAAGCGCGTGCGGGGATTAACTTGAAATCAGCGCCGCGCGGCGTGTACTGATTACGAACAATCGTAATTAAATTCTTTCCACGCTAATGACTGCCGGCACTTGAGCTCCGTGCAAATGATATTTAAATTAGCACGCGTCCCGTATACTAATCGGCCCGAACCTTCTCGCCGCGGACGTGCTCTCTTTCCACCGAATTATTAATTAATATCGCGTTACGATCGCATCAACCTCGCGTGATTTGTCCGGCAAAAATGCGGGAGAGATCGGTTGAATAATAATATCAGTGATTCCGTTATTTCTTTCTTCTTCTTCTCTTTCTTTTCGTCATTGTTACATTGCGCGTTTGAAAATTCGCCTCGCTCCCCACCGCATCGTTGAATTCCGTCGAAAATCTCGACGATGCAGAGAGACACATCGACTCTCTTTCTCTCCTCTCTCTCTCTCTCTCTCTCTCTCTCTCTCTCTCTCTCTCTCTCTCTCTCTCTCTCTCGTTCTTGCCCTTTCTCGCCGGATGAAGCGTCAGCGAAAATTTGCAGGCATTTCGAAAACTCGATTTACCTTCGACGATATAAGTCGTCGACGCACAAACGCGAGCGTAAAATAATTACCAAATTGCAGAACATTATCGTGGAAATGTAATCTGTTTTGCGAAATATCCAAGTGCCGAAGTGATCAAATATGCGAAATATGCGAATATCCAAATGCCTGACCTCCGAAAGTTCAATATCCGATTGATAAAATATTTAAACGTTTGAATTCCTAATTAAATATGCAAATATCTCTCCACGTATCGCATTATTCACGTATTCGAATAGGAAAAATTACAAAAGACGAAATATCCTCATTTGCGATTATCTCAAAATATTATACGGGGTTAATATTAAGATCCTCGTTTGCTCGCTCGCTGTAAATTGTATCTCTTAATAAATTGTATCTCTTAATAAATTGTATCGAGTTCTTCCTCATCATATTCCGAAATAATGCAAATTTCATCTATTAATGCGTAATTCACATATCGCGATACACTACATCGACGCATTAATAGGGAAATTCTCTTTCTCGTATCCTTTCAGCGGGACGTTGTCTTACGTTTAATAGAAAAACTTTCAAACTGCGTGCGCGACGATATCATAGAAAGGAAGATTAATACTAAAGGATGTGACTCGCCCTCTTCCTCGGAAAATACCCAACGTCATCGCGAGAGAACATCCAAATATCAGGCAGAGACTGACTTGTGGAGAATGAAGGATTCATATACTTATGAATTTGCTGACGTAAAAGCTAGATTATTATCGTCATCCAATTCGTATTCGTCTTCCTTTCCAACATGCGCGCATTCTACCGAGAACGCAAATATAATTAAAGACCGTCAGTCCTCACCGAAAACGCTGCAGCAGAGAGGACGACTTTCTGTCAGATATCAAAATAGATCCATCTACCATTCGCCGAGAGCGGCAGGAGATTCAATTCAGCGATTCTTCAAAACTATCAGGCCGCAGATCGATCAACTTCAAGGTCTTATTGCCTTCTAATAATTCCACTGTTCTATGCCGGCCTTATTGTATTCAGGACTATTCAGAGGCGGATATCGGGATGAGTAGAAGCCCTTTAAATGTCACGCTTGTTCATCCTAAAGGTCCCAGAATACGAAGCCCGAAGGAGAGTCCGTCCTCTTCCCTTGCAGAGGGATCTTAAGGGAGCACTGGTGAAAGGGCCGAAAATCCACAGGGAGAGCGGAGATTTTCCCGCGGGAAGTTCTGCGTGGAAACGAATCGACGGCGATTCGCAGGACGTGCGAAGCACCAACTCCTCGTCTCCTCGTCAAGCTCTCGCGCGACAGCCGGACGATCCTCCTCTGGACTCTGCGGGAATGTCGTGGGCAAGGAGACTGCGACGGGAGCCTTTTTCAGAAGTCATAAAACACGAGACGTGCGCCTCCGACGTCCGACGATCCGAAGAAGTCCAGAATCGTTCACCGCCACGTGGCGAAAAATTCGCACGACGCCGAGCGTCGGCTGTCGAGGTGCGAGGAAGTCCTCGCCGAGTTCGCGTGCTGTTTACAAATCGCCCGAGGATCAAACTTCCGATTTCCGCTTACCGAAAATGTTCGACGACTCCGCGAGACCGTCACTTCTTCAAGTCGCTTTCACCGTCTACCAGGATCTACTGGGACCCGGGCTCTCTCATGCTCCCTTTTCTCCGCGAAGTAGTTTCCCCTCACGCACGTCTCGCTCACGCGCGAGTTCAAATCTGAACTTTTCTTCCAATCGCCGCGAGATACCTCGAATTCTCAGCGAGTTTCTTCCCCGTGATGTTCGCGGACCGCTCCGCGAGTGTTCACAGGTTCTGAAGGATCCTGAAGGAAACTCAAATCAAACTACCCCGGGACTAGTCGGGACTAGTCACGAGAACGTCCCGGCGAAGGACGCTTCCGCAGGTCCCGCTCGACCTATCGATCGATCGATCACGATGACTGCCGATCTATAGATTTCGAGTGGACTCGATACTCGGCGGGTTATTGGCCTTGCCTTTGGGGGACTCCGACTTTGGAAGACTTTGTCGTCGTAATAGTACTCGACGTCGTCGTCGTCGTCGTCGTGGTGGTGGTTCGATCGCGTACGCGATCGCGGCACTGCGAACGAAGCAAGGACGAGGACACAGCGACGGCAGACGGACGCGAACTGACAGTGCGCGGCGCTTGGTACTCGCGCGTCGCGACGTCGCGCGTCGCGACGGTGCGCGTCCGCCCGCCCGCGGCGACCTCTTCCGAGCGCGAGCTCGCCGCGCATATTCCAGAACGGAACGAAACGACGGAACCGCTCGGCTCGGCTCGGCTCGGCACGGCGCGACGCGTCGCGACGCGACGCGACGCGATGCGACGCGATGCGACGCATGCTGCGCGGGCAGTCGAGCGGAAGGAGAGACGACGTGGAAGAAGCTGCGAAGGATGCACGCAACAGTTGTTCGAGCATCCTTAAATTCGAGGGTGCTCCTGTCCGCGTGCACGCTCAGACGCGGGGATGCTCAAATCTCCGATAAACTCTGACCCTCTCGGCGCGGCGCTCGTCTCGCGAAACTTGGGGAAAACGGATCGTACGAGCGCGATTGCTGCTTTTTTCTCTCGTTTTCTTTTTTCAGACAGAAAGAGAGAGAGAGAGAAACGCCGCGAAACGTCAGTTCCGCACACTGAGAGGAAAAATATCGGAGAAATAAAAAATATCCATCCGGTTGGCCTGCGTAAAATGTATTTACTCGTACTAATATCGACATTTTTCACTTATACTAATTTTTATTATATTTACTTTAAGAAATTTTTTACGTTATATTTATTCATACATGTTTTTATCAATTTTTACACTAAGAACAAATGGTTCTCGAATATAACGATATGCGGATTCTTTTAAATAACTTCTGAGACTATTGCTTTTTAATCTAAATTCTATTTTACGATAAAAGAATGATACGTAATAAATATATTGTAACCCACCCCCGGAAATAAATAAATTTTGTATTTTTATTTGTTTTTTCTCTCTCAGTATATCCGTGACGTAAGTAAGGTTCCGCGGTACGATCCCCGTTGCGATCTTTTTTGAAATTTGTCGACGGGATGGGGGGCATCTCTCCCTTCGTCCGGAGGACTCGGATCCTGTCGGAAAAGCTCGCTGACGCACAGGAAAGCCGCGATAACGATTATTTACCGAAAAATGAGTCACCGTACGAGGGTTCTCTCTCAGGTGTGATACGTATCGCGATACACGTTCGCCACGCGCGCGCAGCGCATTCAGCACACGTGTACTTACCCACGACCGAAGCTATCATTCGTCAATCTGAGATCAGCAAAAGAACGAGTTGATTCATGGACCGACGTAGCGCGAATCAAAGATTAATCGCGGCCAATAAATCCCCGCAAGGATTAAACACGAAGATCGGCGGGAATGTTCTCGGGGAGTCTCGCGGAATTCCATGCCTATTGATCCGAGCAACGATCGGAAGGAGCCACGAATCAGAGATCCCGAGGTATCTTACGAGCTGCGCGCTGTGCCTACGAGAGTGCCTCTTAAATTACATCTTGACTACAGCGGCGGGAACACACGTCGAGTCGCGAGAGCAGCCCAACTCTCGCACGACTCGACCGGCCAATTGCATGAGTCGCGCGACGGCCCGACATGCAAATACCCTCTGAAATTAAGTCGCCGCGAGTTTGAATATTGTTAACATTCAATTTGGCGCAATTCGCTAAACGTTGCGCGCACCGTGGCGCGCCACGGCGCGCTAATTGCATAACGTTAAATCGCAACAACAATCTGCTAATTCATCTGCGCACGCGATCACCGAGCCAGCCGAGCAGCCGATTCTGGCACACGTATCGCGCATCACGTGACTCGCGCGGATCACGGCAGGCGATCCGGCAAAGTTCGTGTCCGGCCTGACAGCGCGCGCGGCTTTGAGGGTGTGCGAGAGGGTGACTGCATGTGCGTGTGCGTGCGTGCGTGCGTGCGTGCGTGCGTGCGTGCGTGCGTGCGTGCATGCGTCGGTGTGTATACGTGTGTGTGCTCGCTTGTGTTTGCCCGCGCGAGGGTGGTCGGACGGGTAGTTTCACGTAGTGCAGCGCGGCAACGTCGACGTGAAACGAAACGCTGTGAGACATGAGAACGGAATTCCCAACGGGAACATAAAGCCGCGGACGCCCCTTTTCCGGCGGCGTCTCGACGCCTCCGACGCTAGCGTATACGTGCCACGTCACGCGGCCGACGCGCGAGATCCGGCTGACAACGCGACGCGACGCGATGCGACGCATCGCGTCGCGACGCCGCACAGCCCGTGTGAGCCCGTCCTGAGAAAATAACGAGACGCGCAGCGAGCGCAGGACTGGCCGCTGCCTCGATGAGGGAGGCCTTTTTAGGGCTCGAAGGGATTCAAAGTGGTTTTCAAATGAGGACGGGCTCGTGGGCAGGCGGAAGTGAAGACGCTGACTGTGTGTGTGTGTGTGTGTGTGTGTGTGTGTGCGCGCGTGTATATTCGCAAAATTTTTTGCAACGGATCCCGCTGAAAACGAGTGAAAAGTGGCAGTATTTTCGCCCGACGCGACGGGGGAAATACCGCCGCACGAAAAGTCGCAAAAGTGAATGCTCCGCTCAAACTTACTCGGAGCGAATTCCGACTCCGTGCGAGCGAGTGTTTGAATCGACGAGATCTCGGTTTTTTTATACGAGTGGATATGTTCCTGTGACGCTGCAGTACGTCAGATTCGCTTTTCAGAGGCGAGTGAAAGTATTCGCTGGAAAATTCAGTCCATATGAGTGAGGAATCACACGACTCGGTGGTCACTCCTATTTTCTAGTGAAATTTTAGTACTTCACAACTTTAGAATGTGTGTACGAGGCTATGAGAGTGGTCGTAGATTTGGGCATTATTGTAAGTACGCGGTGCGAGGCACGAGAGATCAATTCCACGAACGAGTAATTATTTTTCATTTTTCATCCTAGCAGTCTTGTTGTTGATACAAAATTGAAATTTTCCCGGGGAACTCTTTTTAACATGGAGAAAGAGTGTCGAACTAAAAAATAGCTGCTCGGGTCAATTTAATGGGACAAATAATTCACACGTCAAAAGTAATGCGGGCAGAGAGAGGGTCGGAAGAAGGGGAGGGCACCCTACATAAGGTGAGGCCTCCAAAGCGTGACAGGTGAATATCCCGAAAAAATATTGGCGGTAAAAAATCCTTCAGGAAAAGTCAGCAAAAGAGTGCTTTGGGGGAAGTTACTTTTGGAGATATATTCGTTTCCCTCTACCCGGATGCTGTAAAGGGATTTTTCAAGGTAATGAGACTCATCCTTGAAACTGAATTATGTATGTTGGAATGTGCGCTATTGTATGGTGCGTATCGAGACGACTTCAATGTTCCCGAAATATTCGTATAAAAATATACGTATAAGAAAAAGAAAAAAAATAATACATCCAAAAACCGCATAGCATTATTTTACTTAACTTTGCCTGATAACATTTTACTTCATCGGCGATATTTTCGAGGTATCGCACACCTGCGTCGCGCTTTATCGCACCTCGTCATGCGAATGAAGAATGAGCCACAGGCGACGACGAGCCACAGGCATGAAGAGATGGGCCGCGATATTAAATCACACTGCTACGGCCAGTAAATAAACTTGTAAGAGTCACTTGTAAAAGTAATTTGGGAACGGCATAAACATTATATACGACTTTCTTTGACTCTCTTGGCCTTGCGGCCAACTTCTCGGAATGTCCATCTGACACAACCGTGTTTAATTAAAGGGTTCGAACGTAAAATCAGGTAACTGACATTTGCATAAATGTCAGTTGCTGGAGTTTACCGGGTTTTACCTCCGAAACCCTCAATTAGTTACTCGCTAATGGTTCCCGTCATCTTCGGAGTAGTTTCCCCCATGTAGCAATACACTTAATGAGTCGGTGTTCCCACCCTGACAAACAAGTTCAACGGTAGTTTCTTTTTAACGTTTGTTTGCCCTCTCCTCCTTTCTTCCCTCCTCTCTCTCTCTTTCTCTTTTTCTCCCGCAAAAAATTCGACGTATCCACGAAATTCCATAACAAACCGATCTCCCGATATTTCCCGAAATTTCCACGGAGAATTCGCGTGTCACGTAATTCTTCGCCATGCTCTCGCGCGCGCGGACGCGAATTCCAAATCTATATTTGAATTCCCCTCGGATTCGGCCGTAAGTATACCGTATCGATTTTACGATCGCGACATTCGGCAACGGTACAAAACAAAGAAAATGACTGAGGTGACTCGGAGACGGCGGAGGAAGAGAACAACGTAAGAGAGACGGCGGAGAGACGGCTGGCGAAGGGGGCGAGGGGAAGCAGGCGAGAAGAGGGGAAGAGGACGGCGGCGGGGGGAAGGGGGGGAGAAAGAAATTGGTGTACAAGGGAACGGCCGTCGAAGTAAGGTGCTCCGCAAGCGTAGCCCGTAACTTTGGCCTATCAGGAACATCTGCGAGGAAACTGCGCGAGGAACGAGCCGAAGTTACCTGCAATTGACAAATTTCCGATGGCTACTTCGTGGCTGTCGCCTTCGCAGCAATTAGTCGCGATGGACTTTGGAAACACTCGGTGCATGACGTCGATCATGACTAATTGTCAGGAACAAGACGATGCGCTTGATAAGTCTCTTCCGCCTCTTCGCCTTTTGTCCCTTTGTTGCCCATCTCCCTCGCACCTTCGGTCTTTGCGCGAACGCACGAATCGAATGTTTCTCGGGCCGAAGTGTGAGGTAAAGCCCTACTTGCACAAACCCCCTAGATGTTACTTCGCACGATCGTTCGCGGGGTCGGAGCACCTAATTCAATTATCCGTAGAGACGCGCGCGTAACAAAAATTCGCTCGGTTTAGCGGAATCGATCAACCGCATGAACCGGTGCTTGTAGCAGATGTTCTTCTTCAAATTCAATAGCGACATTATCGAAAGTAGTAGTATTAAAATAATAACGCCGATGAATGAATAATTTATAACCGAGTTGTTAAATTAACGTATGATACATTAATTCCAATAATGTCGCTATCGAACGAAATGGAGACTCATGCCAATTACGGTGGACGCTGTCGAGCGATTCTGCCCGCGCCGACAGCATTTTTCAGCCGTGTATAAATCCGGAGGCCTCTTTGAGCATTTTTCAATATCCGCGCATTGATCCGCGCGAAGGGGGACGA